GTAGAAAACGTAGCTCCGAAAGTAAATGAAGAAACACAAGGGAGGATGGATGTAAATTAATTAGTCCAATGCAACAAGCTACTGGGGCTTACCCGGCATTGAAAATAATGGGTGGGAGTAGATAAATGAAGAAGAGCTGTTCATCGAACCTCAGAAAATGACTGCTTTTCCAGTTGCTTATGATTAAGATGATTGTCCCAACAACACACCCCTGTTTAGTTGAACACGAACACAAATGATTTACAAATTATATATATATAAAAAAAAAAAAAAGACAGTATGGGAGCATATATGAGAATATATATACGATGATGATGGCGGTGATGGACTCATTAACCCAACGATTCTCGTCAAGCAAGTGGCCGATTACCAAGCACAGACAGAGCACAGCTACGAACAAGGTGATGGGCACGACCTGAGTATCGAGGTTCAGGTTGACGTCCATTTTTATCGATAACGTATTGGTTATGATTAGGATCACGATCACCTCTTGTTATCCTGTTGCTCCTGTGGACGTAGACGAAGAGTTTTGTATGACAAGGATACACGTGTTCTTCTTTTATGTTTCAGTAGTGTTTATAGTTGTTTGTCTCTTTCCCCCGGCCCACACTCATCTTTCTTCTCAAAAGATTTATCTTTTTTCATGTTTAAAAGACCAAAATTTGTTTATGGGATGAAAACACGATATAATAAAGGACATTAACTTGTCATTTTTGTAAGAATAAGATGATACTGAACTCCATATAAAACAAAACACTAGCATATAAACTTGTTTTAATTTCATAAGCTGAAAGAGTTCCATGAGACTACCAACCCTTTGAATTATTATATTAAATCCGTGCTTTACAAAGAGCGTTTTCAAATGCTTGAGAGCTTCTACCTTCTGTCTTTTAATAAAAGTTTCGTTTTAAACAAAAAACCTTGATTAAAATTATAAGTTTATGATGTTTAGTTTAAACAAAACACTACAAATTAACAACTCGCTACCAATTATCAGTTTCCTGCTATCTGATAGTTTTTTCCAAATACACCATAAGTATTGTTATTTATTATATCTATATTAATACTTTTCACGGACAACTAGTCACCGAAAATTTTAAAATACTTTGTAAAATAATATTTTTCATCCTTCTACTATTTTAAAATGTCATTTTGATCAATTTACTTTGAATTCTATAAAATATCACTTTTATCTTTCTAATTTCTAAACTTTTTGTTTATCTCTGTAGTATACAAATTTTGTTTTTCCAAAATAATTTTTATTCGTTAATTTAAGAAAATCAATTTCTTTCGTTTTTATTTTTATTTATGTGTCGTTATAAATTCGACGTGATCAATATTTTTACGAAAAATTAGAAATTTCGTTGGTTATTTTTTTTTTAAATAAAAGAACTTGCTTAGTAATATATATATATATATATATATATATATATATATATATATATATATATATATATATATATATATATATATATCGGTATAAATTTAAATCTCTTTATGTTTCAACATAAATTTTGTATACATCTTCTTGCTTATATGTATGTATGTTTCCCATGTATGAGTTTGATCACATATAATATGTTTTCTTTTGATTTAGGTACGAAAATATGTCGGTGGTATAAATCGAAGCTAGTTAGTGGTACTGATCTTCTATATTTATCTACCAAAAAAAAAAACGTTACCTAACTTTTATCAATATAATATAATTGTCAAACTTCAACTTACAAAATTGATTGACAATGTCGCATATACACAGGACAAGTTCCTAATTAGAGTAAATTACTAAGACCGATCACTTTGGTTGTCCAAAGGTTGTATTTTTGGAAAAATTGTTTTTCCAACTATTTCGTCTTTATACTTGACATTTGTTTCGGATTTGGTACCTTGTAACATCCAGATCTCGAGGTACATGTTATTTAAAATTGTTTGTCTTTAGGGTGCTACGACATGGTGGAGGTACCGCCACGACGTGGCGATACTTAATGAACCGTAGATCTGTTTTGGTTCCCACTGTATGGCAACCGAATGGCCACGGATAGACGACCGTCTGAAAATTAAAATCCTAGTGTTTCTGGTTTTATGACCTATATAAAGGAAAGTATGAGCTATGGTTTGCTCATCCTCATTGTAACAATCGTTTCAGATATCAATTTCCTTTTAAAATTTTAGGGTTATAGACTGGAACTCGTCGAGTAGGGAGCTCCAACTCGTTGAGTAGAGATCACTAGTGGGAAGCAAAATTTAGGACCTACTCGGTGAGTTGGAAGGCCCAACTCAACGAGTAAGCGCTGTTAAGGAAACCCCTAATTTTTAGGGTTTGCACCATATATAATATCCTTAACACCTTGAGGCTGACCTTTTATCAGCCTCCAAACCCTAAGAATGTCTGTGCTAAACCCTAATCTCCATTTCCTCTCATTTAGTGAGCTAGAGTGACTTTTGAAGAAGATGATAGTAAGAAAAAGGAGAAGATTCAGCAACTAAAGCCCTCACTCTTGAGCTGGACCATCTTATGGACTATTATAAGCATTCAAGATTCGATTTTCATTTTTAACTATGGCTAGATCTTGACTTTACTCTTCATTTCCTATCATTCTTGTTGATTGCATACATGAGGTCATAAATTTGCACTTTCTGAATCTCCAGGGTAAAATGGCCCCATAGTGGGCTAGATCTAGATTTTTGTCAAGCATGGATGCCATGCATGGGTTTTAGGGTATATTTTCCCTCTTTAGCCATTTTTAACTTCAAGACATGCATTGGAAATGTATGTCCATAAAGTCTCCATCTTTGGAACGTTTTGAGGGTTAGAAACTCTTCTGGAAAGAATGGATCCCAGATCCCTAGAGTCTTGAACCATATGGCTTAGCTTTTAAGCTTTCCAACCTTTGTTAAGGGCTTTAGAGCATTCAGTGTGGTTCCAGAGGATAAAGTTGGAAACTTTATCCTTATAGACACCTTAAGACCTTAGATCTAAGCCCTAGAGTGCCTGTAATCGATGTATCATCCGAAAGTGAAAACAGGGTGAAAGCTTGACGAGTTGCTCTGGCAACTCGACGACTTGAATCGGGGTTTCCCGTCTATTGGATATTGAATGAACTCGACGAGTTAATGAGACAACTCAGAGAGTTGGCTAGGGTTTGTCCCAGCTTTCTGGATTCTGAAGAAACCCGACAAGTTGCTAGATGCACTAGACGAGTTGGGGGTCAACATGGACTGTTGACCTTGACCGTTGACTGGGACTTTGACTAGGGTTGACCAAGTGTGACTTTGAGGGTATTTTGGTATTTAGGATTTTGACAAAGTTAGTAACATGATGATTCCTGGCATTTGTGTGGTTGTAATGAAATCGAGTGTCAATTATAAGATCAGAGTAAAGTAAGATTGATGAACACAAGATCTAAATCAAGTATGTTTGGCTCAATTATACTTTCGAAACGTATAGAGAGTTTTAGACAACAAAACGAAAGTTCTTATCTATCTCTAGTATACATCCCATATTTATAACGATCATGAAAGCATACAAAAAATATAAGGGGCTAAACAATGAAACTTTGATACATAAAGTGACCTTACAATAAAATAACATACTATTGAAACTAAGTATGACCTTCAACACCTCAAAATTATATTCGACATCCACGTTCTCCCCCTTTGTGAGAAGTGACGAATTAGGTCATCAACATCTCGATGTCTTGGTGCATAGTTCTACGAATTTCAGTATACCAACTCATCAATTTCTTCAACTCTACCTTATCTCCATCATTATTCTTTTTGCAATTATTCATACGAATAAGCAAGTTCGTATAATGAGTTGTTATATACCTTTCCACATCAGAATCTTGGAACAAAAACTTCATATTCTTTCCCTTCTTGATTTTTCCATCGAACACAAATACCAAGTGTCTTCAAGCATATCTCTCCATCGACATAAGGCTTTAAATCAGCTTGACTATTTAACAATGACCGAGGTACAATAATTTCTTTTCCCATTACTAAAGACAATTCCACATCAGTTAATGCTAAGCATTCATAATAGTTGTCGATGAAAAGCTTGATGTGTGCAAGACCCAACAAATACTCCTTCTTGCTCGTACCTTGGAGTTTCAATTCATCAATACCATTAAGAATCTTCGCAACTATGATCATGTCATGTAGATTCATAATTGGGAAACCAACAATCGAAAAGTTAGATGCAATATTGTTTTCTCTAACCACATGATAGCGAAAATTATGTAATATCCCCTCAAATAAAATATCTTTGGAAATACTAAGAACTCGAACTATTTTAACAAGTGACCAGAATACTTCTTATTCCTTTCCAAGTACAGCATGAAATTAAATCTTTAATCTCTTGAACTCTTCTTTGTCTTTGAACTTATCAACAATTTGATATTGAGTAGTAATGGACATCATCTTGTTAATCGGAATGTCCAACTAATTAAAATCAGAATTTTCTGTTGCATAGCTTTTCTTCGGAATCTTATCAAAATCATGCATTTCACCATAAACAACTGTTGCCTCGATATTTTCATAACTATTCAACTTCTTTGGATCACCATTATCCAGAACTGGAGGATCACTTTCACAAAGTCTAAGAATGCTTTGTATATGCCTTTTTTTATCCATCCTTAGTTCTAAAACAACTTTCTTCTCCTCTTTTGAAAGCTCAACACTTACACCTTTTTCTTTCCCTTTATCTTCTTTAGTCTGCTCGGGATTCAAAGAAGAACTCGAACCTCCAATTACAACTACCTTTTTCAAAGGCACGTTGTTGTTGAGATTATTGAATAAGTCTTGCACGACATTGTTATTGGAATCTGAGTAGTTATCACCTTTCCAACTACCTTTGCATCATCACCTTTCTTTCCAAAACCTCCTTCACCACCAACACTTTATGAACTTATGCCAACACTCCTCCTTTCTCCCCCTTGCACCCTTGTGACAACAGGCGGGGGATTCGTTGGCCTCAAATTGAGAAGTTTCGCAAGTGGATCCAATTATTTGTGAATGTTTGACTTTAAAAAACTAAACTTTTGAGTTAATAACTCAGTAGTGAATACTGAAGATGACGAAGATCCAAACGTTGAGATTAGATCCTTTAACTCACCCACCAACTTAGCAATATCACCAAAACCTGTAACATCAACTTCAACCTTCTTATCGAATTTGGGAACCAAAGAATTGTACCAATTAACAGCTTTCGTGACAACACCAGCAATTATATCCACCTTATTATGAAGGGTAGAATAATTGTGATCTAAAGCTGTAAATTCCTTCGCCATATCATCCCTTAACTCTTGAATCTTTAAATTGACATTTTCACGAATGGTCTTAACATCTTGAACATAAAGAACATGTATTTCCTTTTCAACATCCATCAATGCTCTAAGTGCTCCATTAAAGGACTCAAATTGAGCTTTTACTCTTAATTCATTGTTCTTGTCCATCCTATTAAGTGTATCCTGAATACGATGCTCCTGAGCTTTCAGCATGACATCCGCCTCAATACCAGAAACCGAATGTTTACCCTTGAATCCGCTTGTAATTGTAGCACTGAATTAAGCTTCCGATTTAGAATCTTAAATTTCTTCCCAAACATCAACATGTGATCGGGAATGCCCTCCTCTTCTGGATCGAATTCTATGTCAGCAAATGAACCCATGAATTCACCATCATCAGTCTCATCATCCTAAATGGGTTTTAGACCTTCTATGGATTAGGATGGGAATAAAGAAGTAATAGGTTGTTGCATGATATTATTGAAGCTATGTGAATGGGTTGATTGTGGTGATTCAGATGAAGTAGGAATAGGAAATGGTGTTAAAGAAATTGTGGTATCAACAATAAATGTTTCGAAAGTAGATGAGTTAAAAGATTAGGATTAGCTTGGGCTTCAATGTTCAATGCTCCTTCACTCGTATTGATATTTGTTTCTATATTAGATATATTCAAAGTGATGCTTGAAGTGCGAACCTCCTCAAGAATTGATTCAACAGTCGACACTTCGAGTGTTATGACATCTATCATCTTAGGTGTAGAATGATTCGGTTGTTCACCTAGATTGATGGTTGTGTTGACTTTAGAAGTTTCCACATTGCCACTAGGATTTACAATCGCCTCGAGATTCAATTTGATTAGAGAACCCCTCATAGGTGAAGAATGAGCCATTTCATTTTCTCTAAGTGGAGATTTAGGAACAACGTCCTCTTCCATTGAGTCTTCATTGATAATTAACTTCCTCTATTTCTTTTGCTTCTTTGAAATCCATTTGGCCATGTCTTCAACACACCTTTTATTTGATGATGGAGATGTCGGTGTTGGAATTTCACAAAAAATAACCCCTTTTCTGTTAACTTGTGGCTTGTAAGTAAGTTTTGGTGAAAATCTTGGTGATTGTTCACGTGAATGGCGTGGTTTATGAGCCATTTTCTTCAATCTTTTCAGCACTCATGACTTCTTAGGTACCATCTCCTTCAAATGTGACAACCTGGAATTTATTCCGTTATTGTAACCCACTTCTGTTAATAAAATTTAATTTTTATTAAATTTTCCGTCAACTTCTTGGGTTAAGTAAATCAATTAGGGTTATTGTCATAATTTGATACGTGTCGAAAAACGAAAAATCACGCGAAAAACCCTCGATTCCCTCGAAAAGCCACGAGTTCACGGCCAAGGCGAGTTTACGGCCGTAAACTCGTGTACGACCGTAAACTCCGTTTGCGGTCGGTGCCTGGTAGACCCCCACCCCTGGCCGTAAACTCACTCTATACAAGGGTTGAGTGGCCTCCATTTCAACCTTTTTCACCCTCTAAGAAGCTTTCTCTCTCTACTCTCTTTGTATAATTTCGGGTTTTGATCCAGAACCATCAATAATGTAAGTGATTTATCACCTTTCTTTGCTAGATATTCTCTCACACCAAGAACACACACTAGTGTGTGGTGGATAAAAACCTCATTCCAAGCCTGTTACAGTAAGTAACTATCCTCCATGCTTGATGTTTATTGGAAACCACTGATTTTTGACCTAGAATCGACCCAAATCATGAACTCGGAATGGGTTTACGACCGTACTACCTTCAATGGCCGTAAACTCCCTTTAAGGTCGAACATTGGCCTTTGAACCATACTTTGGGATTTGCTCAAGGCTTAGAATAATTCCAAGAGGCTAGAAAGGACCCTGAAACACCGAAAATCACACGTCTCGTCCAATGTTTATGGCCGCAAACCCTGGGGCTGTAAACCCTTAGACCGCAAACCCATGTGTCGTAAACCCATGGACCGCAAATCCAGTTCAGGTCCATAAACTCCCTTTATGGCCGTAAACAACTCATTCATGGGGAAAAAGTTTGTTTTCCTCGATCCAACCAATTCCCGATGACATTCTTTAGCTAAAAACCAAGTGTTTATCTAACACCTATCTAGCGAAATCGCTAACTTAAATACACATATGTATTATTTGATACTAGGATACCGTAAAGTGCAACATACACCAACTCAAGCGTCATCCAGTTCAATCATCTGCATCCAACCAACTGTGAGTTCATACCCCTACATTTTTCCGAGTGTTTCATGTTTTTAGCGGGGGGGGGGGGGGGGGGGGGGAATACAAGCTAAACACAAAAGTTTTCTTAACTTAAAAACTGATGCAATTACAACGGTTTTCTATCAAACATTTAGATACAATTATCCCTTTTGTAATAAGCGGAACATAAGGGACGTTTTCTAATCATAATTGCATAGTTTTTAAAACAGTACATGAACATCACTAAACATTCAAACTATAATAGGTATAGTTTGGGATTTCATTACCAGTCTTACAGATTCAAACTTCATGAAAAGTCAAACATATAAACTATGTCAGATTTAGTTTATCCATTTCTACGAATACAAACCTAGAGTATCTTGTTAAATAATTATTTACGTATAATTATTCATACTCTGCACCGTTACAAACGATTTCGAACTCGAGAACGACCGATCAACATGTAAACCAGCTAATACAAGCTTGTGAGACTTATCTTCATTATGCGCCTCAAGTACCAATAAATCATCACCGGTAGTATAACCAGAGTCTCCTGGAAGGAGAGCATGAAATTTGTGAATAGATCTATTCGGGACTGACAATCCCACACCTGAACTGTTAGCTATAGTTAGGCGGGCATGCCTGGGGTGACAAATTTTGTAATCGTACGACGCCTGAAGAACGTCAAGGAGGTCACCGGTCATACTAGTATGGTTATACGACTCACAATAAGTATAAAATAACCTTTGTTTCCGGGAATTCTTTCTTCCATAGTTTTAATTTAATTAATAAAACTACTATACATACTGGGGTAGCCAGGGTTTTCAAACTGAACATACTTTCATATACAAAACAACAAACATGTTAGAAAATATTGGATTTTCTTGGCAAGCATGCATACGTATTTTAGAACTCGATAATAATGGTTTTCGATATAATCGACATTTTACCTATAATAGAAAGAAACTATTTATACAAACTCAGTGACTAGTTTTCAATACACAAAAACATGCTTATGAACTCACCAGCTTTACGCTGATACATTTTCAAAACCGCTTGTATTCTCAGGGCAACGATAGACAGGTACCAACGCCAGCTTTTGGAGAAGACAGAGCATTTTGGAGTGTCGTCTTTATCTTTTGTTTATATCGATGTATACAAACTATGCTTTCAAACAGATGTAAATATTCATATTGTAATGTAATGGTTGTGTTTACTTTGATTACTATGATACGATTGTTGTAATACTATGTATGACGTCACCCGCCCCTGGACGTTTCCGCCATTGTTTTTCTGACGGTTCGGGGGTGTGACAGATTGGTATCAGAGCTATTGTTTATAGTGAACTAGGTGTACCGAACCTTACATGGTATACAACTATAAACACTAAAGGGCTGAAGTGCTCTGAACTAAAAGTATACTTTAAAATAAAAGTATTTTTACTCCAAGTATACAAGTATACCTACATACCAAAAACCGTAGCATAAAATTAGTATTGTTATTATGAACTTGTAATAAATATTTGAGTGATTATTATGTAAGTGTCACTATAATATCTTTTTAACTACTCGTGGTCCGAGGAATCTGGTTTAAAGGGCCGCATAGGGTTGTTGGATTTTAGAAGTGCTATTTGCCAAAATGATCCCGCCCTTCGGTGTTTTATGTCTGACCCCTGTCTGTACATAGTGGTTGGAAAGTATTGTTTAAACGCTTATATAATAATAATAAGACTAATAATTAGTGATGGTAAATATTAGACTAAAATCTAGTGTTAATAATACTAGGTTTCATCGAAGGAAATTATTTTAAAGTATATGAAGCGATGTCCGAGTACCGAGTCACCACCTTATCAAGTGAGTGCCTAGTCCCTTTCATCTTTCACGTAGATATGAAGTATTTTAATATAAATTGCATGCTATATGTGCATATTGTCTTAATACATGTTGTCTATGCTGGGTAAAAGATTTTTATACATGTTTTAAATGATTTAAACTGTATATGTATTTTATATCTACATAATATGTTGGGTAAAACATGGGTAGATGAAATATGAGTTGGATGATGAGTTGAGAGGTGATATAGATCATGAGGTAAGGGTGAGAGGTGGATGATGTGAGAAGCCTTGTTCCCACATGCTGGCCCCGTCATCTAGCAGAGTATGGATGATAACCATAGACTATTCTAGACAGTCCAGTGGAACACTAGCAGACTCACAACCTGTAGGTGTTGTGAATGATGTGTTCACCCGGTGTACGCTAAACCTTGGCGATCATGTAGAATTGATGCCTAAACCCTAATGACTATGCAGACTTAGTGCCTAAACCTTTGTGATCATGCAGACTTGATGCCTAAACCATGGTGACTATGCAGACTTAGTGCCTAAACCTTGGCAATCATGCAGACTTGATGCCTAAACCCTGGTGACCATGCAGACTTGGTGCCTAATCTCTGGAGACTATGCAGACTTAGTGCCTATTGTGTAAACCGTGGCAATGATGGACTTCGTTCCAATTCCTTAGGATGATCCTTAGGAATAAATGAACAAGGAATAGCTGATTCTTAGGGTAGATCCTTAAGAGTAAAGAAGATAATGGGGATGGGTAATTGGGTTGATTTTTTGATGTTTAAACATAATAATTATATTATTGTGGGTTGAAAACCCTATGTACTCACCAGGTTTCCCAACCTGACCCACTCAGTTTATTTATATCACAGGTGTTGATATGAAGTCACATTACACTGAGAGATTAAGGAGATATAAATCACTAGTGATAATGAATGTAAGTTCTGTTTATGTTTATGTTTCTGTATTGACGATGACATCCCAAAAGTTTTAAAATGAATAAAAATACTTTTTCTTCGGAAATGCCTTGATAACGTATTTATCATGTTTTACTGGGAACAAATTCCACAACATTTTTATTAAAAGAGGTACTCTGATTTTTATAAAGCATAAACAAAAAATTGGTCTTTTCTGGCCGTGAAAATGGGGATGTCACACGCTTGGTACGTGGAGAGGTGCCTGACTTGCAGAGTGGTCAAGGCTGAACACCAGAGGCCAGATGGAAAGTTGCAGACTCTTGAGGTTCCCATGTGGAAATGGGAGCAGATCACGATGGATTTTATCACCAAGATGCCAAGGACGGAAAGGGGGTTCGATGCCATATGGGTCATCGTGGATCGACTGACCAAGAGTGCCCACTTTCTAGCCATTCGGGAGAGCTCGTCGGCCGAGAAGTTAGCCAAGCTATACGTCCACAAGGAACTAGGCACACAACAACACTTCAGTACAGCTTATCATCCGCAAACAGATGCCCAGAGTGAGCAGACCATACAGACTCTTGAGGACATATTGAGAGACTATGTTTTTGGCTTCGGTGGGAGCTAGGACTCTTACCTACCCCTCGTTGAGTTCTCATACAATAACAACTTTCATTCCAGCATTGGCGCCCCACCTTATGAGTTGTTGTATGGGAGGAGTCGTCACACTCCATTTTGTTGGGGTGAGGTAGGTCACAAGGTGATGGGTCGGACCAAGGTAGTTCTGCAAACTACCGAGAGGATTCAATAGATTAGACAACGAGTGTAGTCCGCTCAAAGCCGGCAGAAGAGATACACTGATCAGTGCCGATCTGAGTTGGAGTTTCACATCGGTGATATGGTGATCCTGGAGGTTTCCCCCCTGGAAGGG